AGAAAATGTGAATTGTGATTGAACAAAAGGGAACGAAGGGGTAAAAAAAACAACTCTCTTTTTTGTCGAACTTAGGGCTGCAATTTATTGGAAGGAAGTGTCTTCAAGTCTACAAAGACACAAAAATAGCACAAAACCGTTGAAGTACAACCCTCAACAGAATAGGTAGTCGACACATTTATGCGCGCAAAACGTGGGCGAAGGATATGATGGTAGGGACGAGGCATAATTGCCTTGTAGGTGGTACAGTACTCTGACACAAGTGAGCACCAGACAGTGTCGTATTGTTTTTGTTTTTGAAAAATACAGTCAGTTTACCTTCATATCATTGTTTTACATTTTTTTTTCCTGCCAAAACTGCATCGCAATGTGGTGAAAGATTAACACCCCAAGGTCGGCGCAGGCTGGGCCCCAACAATGTAAACAGATTCCGAACTGCCCAACGCACATTGTAGGTCGCAGCCTCCAAAACTTGCAGACGCGTACAGAAGGCACACTTCCAATGTTCAAGCCCGGCTTGTGGTTTAAGCAAATTGTACATCGCAGCATCATTATTCCTATGCTCTATTATGCCCACCAGTGCATACCTGAACAGTTGTCGTGCAAGGCCATGTCGTGCCACCAACAGGCTTTACTTTGTTTCTCTTATTAGGGAGGGACCCCACAGGACAGCGGCAAACGGTTTCGGAAGTCGCGAGGCAACTTCCCAGACCCCACAGACCAAGATTCCAGTCGCAGAAGATGACGGGCGACCGCTTTCAGCAGGTCCCCGGACCGTTTATTCCTACGTGACCCTACATTCCCACTTCCAAAACTCCCGTCCGTTTACCTACCTCCCAGGTCCGTACTCCAGTGCACGCGGGCAGAAGTCGGCAACGTGCAAAGCGAACATGTAGCGGTCCTTTATTCGGTCCAGCAGGTCTCAGGCCGTACAACAGGCGTTGTCGCACGGACAAGCCTGCAAAGCGGACATACCCTGGGTATGGGGTGAGCAGCTCTGCGCCTTTGGGATGGAACCGGTTCACTACAGCCATTTGTTGCGTACCAGCTGTTGGCATTGCAACATAGGCACTGCCAACAGAGATGATGAAACAGAGGGGGCCCACCGTCGCTGCGGAATGTGGCTTTGGCATCAGCAGCGGTTCCTCAAATAGGAAATTCTGCGGTGGTTTTCCTTTTTCGGAAAGGATGGGGCCTGGAAGGCCATTCCAGATCCCTTATTGGTTGTCGTAACGGACGGGCGGCTGTAGAAAGTGGGCGACGGGATGTGGGCCACACACCCTGCCTGGTCCCGGGTTCTAGTCTGTCCCAGGCGCACTCGGCTCGAAGTCGACGACTTCCAAAACCATGTCACTTATAGCTTGGCAGGCTACTGAAGGTTCAAACCAGCAACACCCCAGCGGGCACCATTAGTGACTCGGTAACCCAATGTGACTGCCACAGAGATGAATTCCACCTGCCAGAGGTGGGCGAGCAATGAGCATCAAGAGGGGGCAACAATTTAGAGTTACCCAATTTTGGTGGCAATTTTTTCCTCTCACATAAACAACCTCAAAAGAATCATGGCCATAAAAAGTACATGCTGCTGTATAAGGGCTGTATTAGGGAGACACATCTAAAAAAGGAAGAGACAGATCGACCATAAACAGAATTTCTGGCACAAACTCGATACAAATGGCCGACACTGCAGAAGGTCTCATTCCAAAAGACGGGTGGAGGTTGTTTGAACTGCCAGTCCCATGGACTGGCTCGTTGTTTGTGCCCTGTCACAGGCAAAGCCGCCCTCAGGTCTGTGGCAAGAACCAGTACAAATCGGGACGCAATCCGCCTCAAAAACGCGTATGTACATCCCCAAAGTTTCCCTGTTACCAAGCTTCAGGAACACAGGCTTGGTGGTACCGGTGACTGGATGCTCTCACAACAGGGGCTTCCACACAACCACCTCCGCTGAGCCATGCAGCGAGTCGATTTCAAATTTGGTCGAAGCCCCAAAGAGTCCCAGGCAGCAATGTTATACGTTCTCCGGTACTACATTTACTCCTGTCCTAGCCACCTCACTACAACTCGGTTGTGCCCTTCTACTGCTCCCTAAATCACTAAGCTAGAAAACAGGAGGTCCTTCAAAACAGGTGGTTTAACTCTTGACTAATCGTCATGATGGTTGAAAAAGAGCAGAATGGAGTTTTGGCAACAACTGCATTCATCCCCATCACTCTATTAAGGAAATTTGGTGCACACATTGAAAAGAGGGAAATCAAGGGAAGTAAATCTGGTGCACATCCCTGTCTCGACGTTTTTCTTCTCTCCCTTTTGACACAGCACCATATTGTATTTTCTTTTTTCTTTCATTGTTAAAAGGTTCTGGAGGCCTGCATATACAAGTCAGGCCCCTGCCCAAGCAACAACACTGTCAATACCATGCACCACCACCCAGGACTTGGGTCAGGGAGCTGAAAAAAACGGGAGAGTAGTACCCTCCCCCCCCCCCCCCCCCCCCCCCCCCTCCCTGCACTACAAGAGACCTACCAGGCTACCCCACACATACCCCCCTGCCAACTCTGACACGAAAGCGGCGAAAGAGGTGCGGATCAGGAGCTCTCACCAGGCATCTGTGGCTACATTCCCATCGTACCTCTCACCAGGAGTTGAGAGGTGGCTTACCAAGTCGGGATACCTCTTTCCCCCCCTCAAAGTGCACATTACACAGAGCCACTAAGGCGCCCAACAGAACAAACAAAACACCCGGATCACACCCTGTCCCACAGACACAGCTGAACAGACTGACAAACCAGAATCATCGGAACATCCATCACGAACCACCCATACAACGAGGACAGCCTACAGAACCCACCAGAACATCGTGAACACATACAACAGCCTGCCGAACCTGCAGGACCGTTCCCCCATGAGGCACCCAGCCCTAAGATGCCAATGCACATAAAACAAACTGCACAACCTGTAGGATCATTCCCCCAAGGGCTGGGGGCTTTCCAAGATCAGCCATAATGCAAGCTATTAAGCCACCAATTCACACGAGACCAAGTAGTGCTCTTACTCTTACCCGTGACACAGGGTAAGAGCACTTGACTTTTGCCCTGTGAAGTACCAAAAGTGGCAGGCCACTTTTAGAAGGCACAGCCACAGGGTAGCGAACCGTGGAAGGCAGCTTCGTCAACTTAGGCTCGAGTGAACTGGTGGATTAAAAGTCTCCTTGCAGCATGCGCCACAGCCCCCAGATGATGAGTGTGACATCTCTCGAACCTGCAACCAGCATTTAGAAATGCAGGCACACTAGCTATTGGGCTATCATCATTTGCAGTGTGCAAATGGCCCTAAGTGACAGCAATCCAGCACATCCCAACGCATACCCACCAGATTGCAGGCCCGAGGATTTGAACCTGCAACCTAACCCCAACGGCGCATAAGCAACAAGTGCTCGACTAACTAACCTAGGTGCCATCCTCCAACATGCTGTGCAGTGAACTTTACTGGAACCCCCAAAACGGGAAGAAGGAGAAGGCGCGAGCGCACACAAGAGGTATCCGCGAGTGTGTAATGGAGAGAAGTTTTGTAAGAGGGGAGGCCGTTGTCAAATCAGCAGTATGAAACATCAACATTTGACCGCGTCTCCCGAGAGCCTTAGTTGCACAGCAGGTATAGCATAGCATTCCATTGGTACTCCGCATTGGCCTCCCTGTTCCTGGCAGGGAAGCACCCCTCACGGTGAATGACATCCGTGCACCCACCTGCAGGGCGCTCTTGAAGAAGCCAGACCCCTCTCCTCACAACACCGCACAGATTTGACATAGGTGGGAGTGTCACTGAGAGAATAACCCGGCAACATATTGACGGAGTGAGAATTAGTTTTTTTCACCCTGAAGATTCCCAAGACGGAAACAATTGCAGACCTGGTCGAAGCCCTTAGTCGAAACGAATAAGATCTGAACAGGAAACTGTGTGACTTGGATCAGCAAAAGAAACTCGTCTGGAAACCGTGGTACCCCCCACTTGCCCGCTGATCACTTAAGAATCACTCCAACCAACTTTATCCTGATACCTCAAGGCGGCAGTAACACCCCTCTGCTTCTCCTTCCCCCCCCCCCCCCYCCGACTCCCGACTTCATGTGTTGGTTTGCACTTGTACGTGATTTCATCGCATTGATCTAGATCTGCCACGGGCCCCATGCTAGATCGCGAACTCTGAATTTCTTCGGTGCGCTCTGATAAACAATGTCATGGTATGCACAGTGGTAGAAGGGCAGAACACTTCTACGCTGCACAATAACAAGGTATAGAGAATGACTGACGGATGCTAGACCGTACTCTGCTTTCAACATGCTTTAGTTTGCTATGCTCTCGGCGTTCAATGCCGGAGACATGCATGTCTCCAGTGCTATGACTTTTTATATGTGCGCTCTCAATTTTTTGACATACCGACGACGTATGGTGTGAAACCGACGATTGGCTGACTGCATGACCGTGAATTTTGTCCGTCAGCACGCACGTATAATCGAGTACACATGTACACATGTTCTGTTTTGTTTTATCTGGCTCTCTCACCTCCATCGCCTCTCTCACCTCCATCACCTCTCTCACCTCCATCGCCACTTTGCAAAGGTGTTGTTCGACTGTTGAAGGTTTGCTTGCACGTCAAAAAAGGCACCCAATAAAACAAAACAAAACAAAGCAAAAAAAATCAACAGGGGAAAGAAAAAAGCGAAAGTGTGTAGAAAAAGGGGATGGGACTCGGGATGAGAGAAGAGCGAGGGTGAAGGAAAGAAAGGGTGCGGCCGCCTCTCCTGTGAAGTTAAAATTGAAACGAGAATCTAGGAGCAACGAGCAAGAACGTACTCACACCGCCACTCCCTGGGGCGAGCGGTTGGCTCTTCGGCGTTCACATACAGAACCATGGAAAGCCTCCTTGATCCGAGCACGGCCTAAGAAAGAGTGTGGTCCGATTCGTGAACGGTTGATATCCTCGGGGGTTTGAAACGGGGACGTAATATATTTCGACGGCTATGTTTCATTTTAGTTGGATACGAGAGATGCAGTAGTAGAAGTGCGAGCCGAACACCAAGAGGAGCGAGCAACGGAAAGAATCCGCGAAGTTGGCCCGGGCTCAGAAATCGATCCCACCATTTGCCAAAGCAGAAGAGGGAGCAGTTAACAACAAATCGGCCAGCCATGTCGGAAGTGGAAGAGACATTCAAGCGGATCAGCTCCCATAAAGGAGTGCTTGGGAGCATCATTGTCAACGGTGACGGAATTCCAATTAGAACAACACTGGACAACACCACATCGGTCCAGTATGCAGCTCTCATGAGCACGCTCGTGTCCAAGGCGCGGACCATTGTGAAGGGCTTCAATAAACATGATCAAAATCCGGCAACAGCAAGGGTCAAAGGCGACGGAGCGTCATCAAAAAAGGCAGCCGCAGCGCAAAATGACCTCACTTTCTTGCGCATTCGGTCCAAGAAGCATGAGATCATGGTCGCCCCGGATGGAGGGTTTATACTCATCGTAATACAGAATCCAAGCGGCGATTAAGCAAAGCAGACAACCTTGTCGACGCTATGACTGGAGGCGTCTTCCTCGCTGGCCTAATTCCGCTAAAAGCCTTGTTCAAATTGCCAAAAAGGTCACGGGAAGCGATCTCAGCCTAACGACCAACGAGGTGCGCGCCAATGTAAGCGGGCAACAGGATAATGGAGAGCGACGGCTTTAACTGCGACTAACGAGGAGTTCAATTCGTCAAATACCATGCTGACATATTAGCAGCGAAAAGATCGTACCCAAAGACAGCCATACCAGCAACTAGTGCTGACAAAACCTCCTAACTCGAGAAAAATTCTTCAGCTACAATCAGTTGACATTTCTCGGCTCAAAGATTTCATGCCAATGCTTCGGATGCTGATGATAGAGGGGGGGTTGCGAGCGCTCATTTGACTGCAGGCTTTCAATTCAACGACTCACGTCCAGTGCTCTTCGTTGAATGCTTATATGGCACAAAAGAAGAAACGAAACAAAGAAAGTGACAGAGTGAATGTTGGTCCGTTGAATTTGCTTGCAATCAAGAGAAGCCCACAGCATGCACGCAGAACCTCCGGCCATTTCAGCCACTTATGGGGGCAGGTGAAACAGGAAACGCGTGCAATAGGAGGGTTGCGCAATTTATGGAGCGGCAAAGGCGGGGTACGCTGAGCACAGCGTCGTAACAGCTCGCTTTCTCCGCCCAGCAAAAAACCCTACTCGCCCTCTTCCCTCACTCAAAACGCGCGCACGCACACACACACACAGCGAGCATAACAACACACACGCACACAAGCAAAGACACACATCCACAACTAGGTCACAAGCAGAAAACACAGACGCATGCAATACTCAACCCGCCCGCCGTCGCTCCCAGACTCCATCATAACTACTGGTTCCCTGTTAGAAAAAATAAGGAAAAAGCAGCAGACTCTAGATGCTCACTCAGGTCTTCGACGAATTTGGATAGTTGCCCGAGGAAAGCGCGGCTTGATCCTACGACAGGCAAACCGTGCTTCGTAAGAATTCAACCCGCAAAAGAAAAACAATAAAAGTGAGGAGGAGATATATGATTTCATCCGAAATACCAAACGGAATTTGAACTCGGCCCCGTCCTCGACGCGAACATCTGGCACCGCCTGGAACATGCATACGCATATCCCGCACTGAAACGGGAATACACAGAACCATACCATACACTGTCCAACCGACGACGCAATCATCGTCACCTTCGTGGCCAATGATAAGGATCAATCGGTACAGACATCGATCAAGCGTACTTGATCAGTCAACGGACATGCTAACGCAGGAACAACCTACGGGCAGTCATCAAGGGATTTATCTATCGCGACGTCAATGTTGAAACTGATCCACACAAAAGACCTATGCACAAATGCCCTCGCCACTACACCGATCACAATCATCTTTGGCCTTCGCCATGCTCGCAAAGGGAAACGAATCATCATCATCACAAAACAAGTTAATTATACGATTAGCATCAGCATCGAATTACGCATATGAATATCAGACACAAACCCATAATCACTAGAGACTCGCGTTCGCTAGCCGACCAGACAGAGAATCAGTTGATGCTACAGAAAAAAAACAATTCCGAATTAATTAACTACACCAATCACGCGCTGCGGGTCGCTCCTGACGCATCTTCCACCCGATTACTCTTCGTTCAGATCCGTGGGAACTCTATTGAAATTCAAGAGTAATCGGGACAGGCCAGGTAACATGAGACCCTTCTCTCTCTCCCTCTCTGTCTGTCTGTCTGTCTGTCTGTCTGTCTCTCTCTCTCTCTCTCTCTGTCTGTCTGTGTCTCTCTCTCTCTCTCTCTCTCTCTCTCTCTCTCTCTCTCACACACACACACACACACACACAAACACACGCACACACATATTCTCTCTCCCACTGCAGGTACGGCACAAAGCCCAATAGCATCCAAACCCTAGGTTGAACATGTCTGACCAGGACGAGTCGTCAGTACAGCCCCGAAATAAAAAGACAAAGCACCGCCTGGTCCCAAATCGAGCACGCCGCAGGGTGGATGGAAAAGTAATACACATTCGGCAAATCCTTCGCGGTAGGGATCTTCCATCCGTATCCGGGAAATGCAACTAGGTTGAGAAAAGGTGAGGCCTTCTTCAGCGTATGAGAAAACTGCGAAACAGCGAGGACTACTTGTACGAGACAAGGACAACGGGAGTTAAGCAGAGGGAACCAAAAAGGAAGCCATCGCGATCACAGTTAATCGAAAGTACAAGCGCGAATTCAACTCTCCGCCCAGTCAAAAGATGTACGTGAAGCTACCATCAGGCAAAAAGAAGCTTCACACAAACTTCTTTGTTTCTTCTCGTCGTCCATCGACGGGGCACCCTAAGACAAAGGGCTTTGGGTAACTCTACTCACCGATGCTCCGAAAACCCGCTAGATAACTCCACCTTGTTCGACGTGAAATATCCACCTTGTTCGAAAGGTCGGTCAGCAGCTCATTCCCTGAACATATCCCCTATAGTCAAATGCACACCCAGAAAGACATTTTCAACAATCACATCAGATCATTTCCGATAGGCAACCGTTGATGAAAGGGGGGCACGACGAAACACACCGTTGAAAAGAAAAATAAGAGACAATGATGACCCCTGAGAAAGAGAGAGAGGGGGCTTCGATCTGATACAAGCCTACCCGTACTAGCACACAAGATGAGTCAGAAACAGCAACTTGGTGGAAGAGCAGGTAAGGCGGGACGAGGAAAGAAAGCTCGAAGCGTGGAAGAGAGCACACATCATCTACCCTAAAGCAAATACAGGGGGATTGATAATCACCCCGCGATCCATTTCTGATTGTCTTTAATATTCCTTGCCTCCCCTTCTCTCTCTCTCTCTCTCTCTCTCTCTCTCTCTCGCTCTCTCTCTCTCTCTCTT